ATTAATCCATTTGACATTATCTGACTTTATACGATAATTCAAAGTTTATGAATTATTGCTAGTCAAACTTCTTTAGTTTGAATGTTATATTACCCGAGAAAAAAATAGGAGAACCTACAAAAAGAAATGAAATTCCATCAAAAACATAGAATGTAATAAAATGCCAAGCCTCGCAACACAATTCTTCCGCTATAAAGTGTTGTGAGATCTCATGTAAAACCAAGTCAGTTTATTTTATTTAGTCTCTCTTTAAACACCTATTCAACAATTTTGTTATAAATTGTTAGTATCAATATTAGTCATCTTTATTTCTGTAATAATTATAATGAGTTAAGATGCCATTACACGGCGTGTGGAGCGCCGCTCCACGCTCCAGGCGCGTGGAGCGCCGCGCCAAGACGCGCCAAGACGCGCCAAGGCGCGCCTCACAGTGCGGCGGATGGTAATTCTAGCGGGACAAAACCTCAGGAGCGATGTTTGGAACTTAAAATCTAAGAACGTAGCAAATAGCAAATGGTTTAATATATGTATAGCATCCATATGGGTAAAATTTATTTATTTATTAACAACTTAATTTATTAATAAATAAATAAACACAAGATAATACAACTATTATATTATTCGTACGTGACACACAAAAACCGTACTGTAAACTATTGCTAAATAAATAAAATTATGATATCAGGTAAATACTTAAAAAATCTTTATTTTAGCAGTTATTTTTTAATTACTTTGTGATCTTGTGACACTCTGTATATTTTATTTTAATTTTTTTTATTTAAAAATAAATAAAATAGTTATTTTAATTTTAATTTTAACACTCTGTAATTGGAAATTCATATATAGTAAGTATCTAAGACAATTTTTAAAACTTTTATTAAAACTAGTAATAATCATTTAGTTTTTATTAAAAATTATGAGAAATTAAAAAAGACTTTTGCATATAGTCATGCTTTATTTAACTACAACATCATTTGGATGTTTCTTTCTTGAGAAAATTTGCCGAACTGACTATTGGTATCATTCATTGATTTTTTAAACTCAGTGTCTTTCGATGGAGTTTCAATTAAGGTTTCAACGATTACAGCAGCATCCCTACTCCCACTAGCCCTAAAGCTCATAATACTTGCAAAGCGTAATTCTTTTAATTTTCAATTCAATTTGTTTCGTTATTATACTAGCCAATTGAAATAAGACTTTTAAGCGTCCACCTGTTAAGCTTGAACTCTAAAAAAACAAGGGAAAATGATCGCAGATGGGTCTTAACACCTTTCTTTTCTTCGTTACTAAGAGAGTTGGGATCTAAAAATTGCATCTCGATATCCCACAAAACGGTCAAGAGATGATGTTGGTTCTAAAACACCTTTTTTTCCTTGAGGGCTTCAAAAAATTCTTGGCAGCTGAACCGGTGTGAGACTCCTAAAAATGTTGTTCTTTTTTCAACAATTTGGCAAAACCCGGTAAAAATAAATATGGGCATTGAAACTACAAACATTCTAGCATCAGAATTGTTTAATACTTTTTGGTAACTATTGGTAACTCAAAAGATCTACATCATTCAACATATCGACTTTTGAAAAAAAAATGGAAGTTTGATACCTGCAGAACAAAGGCACGAAGAATTTTAACGAATAATATACGTACAGTATAAAAGTACATACCTTTGGCAATCTCCAACATAATTTGGTTTTGGAATAGAATGTATATAAGCACTTATAAATATTTTGTTTTCGTATGACCTCTGCCTGGCTGAGTAACCTAACCTAACCTAACAGAAAACGATCAAATTTGGTTGATAAAAATGTATACGACCACAAAATAATTCATGCATTTTTATATCAGTTTGAATGAACACTATTTATTCTTATCAGTACACATTTTTTGGCTTATTTTTACAAACAAAACAGTTTTGTCCCGCTAGACTTATCAGCCACCACAGTGTGTGCCGATGGGACGACCGACCGGCAGGCAGAATACAAAAAATGCATTATATAACTTTTTAACATAGATTATCGGTTTAAATTGGGTTTAAATACAATCGAATAATTTATTCCCCAACTTTATTTTCAGTGCAGTTTATTAGATAACAGGGTGGAAAGCAAAATCATCTGGTTAAATTAAATTAAATAAGATAATAATACTTTTTTAAACTAGGTGTATTTATGTTCAAAAGTTAAATAATTATTTTTTTACCTTAATTATAAAAATAATTAAAGTATATCGTATTTTCAGAAAGCTCATATCAAGGCAAATAAAATAAAAAAATAATACACTGGGTGTCATTTACAAATAGAAGTCAGATTTCGAAAATGAGAGTTACGAGCGAAACTAGTTAACGTCACTGGATTCTATATAAAACACTCAACGAGACTAAGTTTTCACCTTTTCGATAAGTTAACCAATATACGATGGGATCGAAAAATGCAACATTTTAAAATTCGCCCTCTATTTTAGGAACTAATAAGACTAGGACAACTCTTGTAGCATCTTTGGTTTCATAAAAAAGTAGCATAGTGATGTGAAAACCGCATCTTTAGAAGTATAAATGCAATAAACAATATTCAAAAATACAGTAATTATTACTCATACATACATAAGTCACCTCAGCAAAATTTATCTAGTGTTCTTACCATTTATATAACATTTAGAATAAATAATAATTATTATTTTAAACAATAACATGGTAGAGTATATTGGTATACCCTGTATTTTCAGTAATTTTTCCACCTAATTAATATAATATTTATAGATTTCTTTAAGCGAATATCAAATTATACATTTTCGCATCAAATGGAGATATTTAAATAAATTATGTAACAATTTAAATTTAACTAAATTCAAAAAATTACTGGCGAAAATTGTTCGCAGCGCGTTTGCTTTGGAGTGTGCAGTTTACCGCCAGTCGACGGGAATGACACGCCGACCGACGATCCCCGCGCCGACCCATTCTCACGGCGTGTGGAGCGGCAGTTCACGGTTCAGGCGCGTCCTGGCGCGGGACTCCACACTCCGTGTAACTGCTCATATACCAAGCCCGTGACCCGAAAATCGGCGCGCCGCGGCGGACCCAATCACACGGAGCATGGAGCGACAGTTGACGATCCAGGCGCGGCGCTCCACGCGCCGTGTAATGGCACCTTTAGTAATTGCACGATATAATATTCTATTCTAATTAAAAAACCATTGTTTTTAAGGGCACTGTTTAGACTTACTTAGTAATCGAGATGGTAGATTATTCTTTTATATTTATGGTGCTGTGGAATTGCCAAGTCATTATAATTACTACAGAAATAAAGATGACTATAATATTGATACTAACAATTTGTAACAAAATTGTTGAATAGGTGCTTAAAGGGAGACTAAATAAAATAAACTGACTTGGTTTTACATGAGATCTCACAACTTTTTATAGTGGAAGAATTGTATTGCGAGACTTGGCATTTTTTTTAAATTCTATGTTTTTGATGGGATTCATTTTATAAAGATTGAAGATTATGATCAAGCAGTAATGGCTAAAAAACTGTAAGATTTAGAACACATCCACAAATTTGTTGCGCAAAGACAGAATACATGTGGATATAGAAAAACAGGAATCTTTTAAACTAAACTCGTGCAAATTATAATACAATCGCTCTTTTGATTTTTTTGGACTTTTCTATGAACTAAATGCGATCTGACCCTACGCTACTGACCGCACCCATTCCTCCGCTATCTTCCTTCGCGTCGGCTAACTCGATTTCGTTAATTACCGAGTTAGACAGTGGACTCGAGAGCGAAAAATAATTAAAACGTCAAGACAAAAGCCGGGCCGCAATTACTGTCACTCTTGATTAACACCTGGTCTAATTGGCTAAAAATAATGAGAAAAGGCCGCGTCGTTAATGTTCCCGTATTAAAATTGAAATTTAAATGGATTTCGCCACGGCGGGGATCGCAAACGAAATAGGTTTTTTAGCGGCCAAACGTGCCGACCGCCGCACCCTCCGGCTAGTGACTTTGGCTTATGACGTGGCCGGTGTGCATTGCGGCCGGTGTCGCTGATGACTGAGAATATAAAAGGTGATGGCTTCATTCGTTTTGTACGGTCGCCGATCCTCGAATAGCTTAATTATTTTCTGCGTCTTCACACGCGTAATATCTTGAGAATACAACGGAAAATTAAATAACAGTGGTGGAGCAACATATTTTTTTTCTCTCTTACTTAAATACTTTCATACACTTTTATTCTTGAGTTTGTTTATCAATACCTTCTCTTCAGCTTTGCATTAGTCCTTCTTCATGTTATCTCTCTTCCTGCTTTTCTTTTTTAAATTTATTTGGTGTTTATTCCAGAGGCTTTGTTCCACTACTTGTTCCTTACCGTTATGATTTATGACCAAAATTAAGCTGACTAAGGAGGAAGCCCATAATTCCTTCTTCTGTTCAGCATGGGATAAAAACATCGTTCCCAGTGACTTCTATATCAAGTCACTGATCCAAAGAGCGAGAGCTAGATGTACATTAGACAACGCTAGTCACGCATTGATTCGATCCCAGATAAATTACCACAGATGGAAGAAATCACATAAAACGAAGTTTTGAAGAAAGTAAAGAACTAACTTGGGAGGAAGACCATAAACCAATAATGGAGAAAATTAATAGGACATGCTATAGAATCAAAGAAGACATCCAGAAGATTCATAAAAGAAAACAGTCTAACTTTGAAAACTAGCAGTTTCCAAATACCACAGCCAATGAAAAAGTAAAAAAGATCATCTTCAATTTATGCTATAAAGTTCTCTCCAGTTCTGAAGATCAAATCTTCGATCACCGATCCAAGAAGCAGGAACTAGATGTATATTAGACAACGCCAGCCAAGCATTGATTTGATCCCAAATAAATTACCACAGATGGAAAAAATCACAACTGCTAAATGACATCCAGCAAAGTTTTGAGCAAATTGAAGAAACAACTTTGGAAGAAAACCATAAACCAAAAATGGATAAAATTGATAGGACACACTATAAAGTCAAAGACGACATCTTCTTCTTCTCCTCCCTCCTCTTCTTCTCCCTCTCTCCAGCTCTTGCGTGGCTTCCTCTTTTTCTTCTACCTTGAGGATTCCAATATATTTTCTTTGGGATTCGATGTTCTTCCATTCTTTGCACATATCTATACCATAGTAATTGCTGGGTTCTAATGTCATCTACGATGTCGTGTTCCATTTGGCGTCTTATGGTTTCATTTGGTATTTTATCGTTTCTGGATTTTCCAACCGATCTTCTCCAAAAGTCCATCTCCGTGTCTTTTAACGTTCTTTCGGCTTTCTGTTTTAAGGGCCATACTTCAGAGGTATAGGTAATTATGCTTTTTACGATAGAATTGTAAATTCTTTTTTTGTTTTCTATAGTTATATTCTTATCCCATAGTATTCCATTTAGAATCGAAACTGCTTTTTTGCCTTGCATATTTCTTTCCAATATTGCTTCATCCAGTGTTCCATCTTTGGATATTTTCATTCCGAGATATTTGTAGCTGTTGCAATGTCTGATGACTTGTCCTGTTGCTAGTCGTAGGTCTTGTTGTTGTCCACCAATGCACATGTGTTCCGTTTTTTAATATTCAGTTCTAATCCTCATTTTTCATACTCCTCGGTAAGTTTTCGGGTCATGTATTCCAAGTCGTCTATATTGCCTTGTGATACAACAGCCTGGTCATCTGCGAATGACAAGGTGTACACTGTAGTATCATCATCTACTGGTAATCCCATATAACTACATTTTCCCTTCCATATAGACAAGCATTGATTCGGTACCAAATATATTACCACAGATGGAAGAAATCACAACTGCTAAATGACATCCAGCAAAGCTTTGAAGAAAATAAAGAACTAACTTTGGAAGAAGACCCTAAACCAATAATGAATCAAATTGATAGGATATGCTATAGAGTCAAGGAAGACATCCAGAAGACTCATAAAAGCAAGCTGGCTAAATTCGAAAGCTTCCAGATAGCACAGCCAATTAAAAGGTAAAAAAGACTATCGTCAATAATTTATCCTCTAAGATTCTAACCAGTTCTGAAAAAACCATAGACTTAAAATAAAATATAGACTGAGCACCTCATTCATAAATAGCTGGAACATGCGGTCAGACAATGTCTTGTTATTGTTGTGTTATTGTTTTAGGTTATAACGAGTGCGACACGAGCGATATATAGGTTGTCTCTGTCGTAACTGTCGTTCCCTGACGACTCTGCCGAGAAACACAACACTGTCTTTCGTTTCTCAAGTACACCTGAACTCTCCGTATCATAGCCGGGTAATTTTTTTATTTTAATGAAGCTATAATTAAATTAAAAATATATCGTATTTAAACGTTTTTATATTTTATTAAGCTTTAGGACAGGTTTTTTAAATAAAAGTTTAGAAAAAACGTCTCCAAACGTCCAAAAAGGATAAAAATAATAAAATACACGTTATAGAAGAAATATTATAATCGAAATTACGTAATTTTTGAAATTAATAATAAATTATTAATTTTAGTCAAACATTTACAACCCCTAATATTAATCAAAACAGGATCTATTCCACAGATATAATAGAATCGGCGACAGGGAGAGAAAAAAAAATGATTGTTGTAATTTTTTTTCTGGTTAAATGATTATGTAAATTAGAGAAAACATAAATCTGTTCCATTAAAGCAAGGAAGGTGATAGGAAGTGGATAAAATGAAAACTACATTTATTTAACTCGGTACTGTCTTTATTATACCGGGTGCGTCCCAAAAGTGGCTCATCCCCATAATTTTTTTATATGTTAGTATATGACATAAATTAGGATTGATTGACGCATTCAATTGTTTTTGGACACTTCCTGTTTCACCGGAAATGACTATAACTTTTAATTTTTATACGGCACTGTCGGTATATTTCTACTTTATTCGATAGAAAATGACACTCTGAATAGAATGACATATCATATGTCAACTTTTGACATTTTCGCATATGGTTTAATTGTAATTGTAACACGCGGTTCATAACGACAATTTGGCTCGAAATACCAAGTGTGTGGTATCAATATATTCATAAGAAAATGCTTTTTCCAAATATGGTAATGAGTCACCCTTGTTCCATTTGAAAAAATTGACATATGTATGATTAAAAATACGATTTCTACATCTTTTAACCTGCCTAGACAAGACACGAAACCCATTAGACGATCAAAACTATTTTTCCAAGGCTCCTTCATTAAAACTTTTTTAACAACACCATGGCACCCTGGATTGAAATTTAAAATACGATTTGTTTTTAAGCGACAATGTCAAAAGTTGACATATGATATGTCATTCTATTCAGTGTCATTTTTTATCGAATAAAGTAGCAATATACCGAGGGTGCCTTTAAAAATCAAAAGATGTAATCATTTCGGTGAAACAGGAAGAGACCATAAACAATTGAATATGTCCAATAAATCCTAATTTATGTCATATACCTACTAACATACAAATCTGTTTTTTTTTACGAAAACGAAGATTACAGGTATCTGGGATCGATATTTACAGGAGATGGAACGGACGATAGAGAAACAAACAACAGAGTAATACAGGCATGAAGAGTTATCAGATGCATAAATGGCATTCTATGGAGCACTGAAATTACAAAAAACAGGAAATATAATATATACGAGACACTAGTTAAAAGCATATTACTCTATGGATGTGAAACATGGCGACTCACTGAAAGGAATAAAAGGAAATTAGAGACAACAGAAATGGACGCGATTAGAAGAGCAATGAGAATTTCAAGGAGGGATAAGATCAGAAATGAAGACATTAGACAACAGATGGGAATAGAGAGAGCAATAGTAAATGATATAGAACAAAAACAATTAATATGGTACGGCCACGTTCAGAGAATGCACAATGAAAGAATTCCAAAACAAGTCATTCATTGGATACCACCTGGTAAACGAAAGAGAGGACGTCCCAAGAAAACATGGATGGAAGGAATAAGAAGGTCGATGAGCGAGAAAAATCTGATCGAAGATCAATGGGAAAATTGCACAGGGTGGAAGTTAGGCATCGGACAACGTCGTAGGACGTTCTGACCCGAATTTATATATATACAGGGTGTCCCAGAAATGAGTGCAAATATTTTAAGGGGTGGTAGATCTGGTCAAAAGAAACATATTTTCTCTTTACCATTTTTAAAATAAATTGAAAATAACGGAGTTATTTAACTTTGAAAGTTTTAAAAATAAATTGCCACATTTTGAGAGCCGCCGGGGGAAATCGGCAATTTCCAGGATCTCGCCTTATTCGCCGCCCGCTGTTGCCGCGACTAGAAAGTCTTAAAAACTACTTGCAAAATTCCATAACACTAGGTGGATGATCGCCAGTAGCCAGACTTCCCACATTTCCCAAATTAAATTAAAAGAAAAAAAACTTACCAAACATTAAAAAATATCCCAATAGAAGATCGATATAATTGCAAAGCTTTCTTTTTTTTTTCATTTTACCAGTCCTAAAACTGCCCTTAACACTACACTTAACTTCACTACAATTCTTAACAACACTAGAACTTTGATGCCACCTGAGGATCCAAACTTCCAAAATCCCTCAAATACTGAACAAATACGGGAGCGGCAGAGGGCCCTACTGCTCTTAACGGTATTTACGATTTCTCGGGGATTCCCAAAATCATTTAAAAAATGTAAACAAAGCAAAATCAACGTGTGTTGTACGTGTATTCGTGTATCGTGCGTGCATCGCGTAAAGTTTTGGCACTTTTGGTGTAAAATCATTAATTTTCTTTTGTGGGAGAGTTCAGTAGAGGTTTTAAGTAGTTATTAAAGCAAGTTTTTTAACACTTTTTGTTGTATTTGTGAGTTTAGTGTTTAATGTGAAACATTTTAAATAATATTTTGCAAGTGATAGATTTGTGATATTCAGATTATTAGATATTTGGGGTGTATGTGTAATTTTATATGTTGGATAAAAACACTGATCAATTTTCATCAAATGGGTAAGCTCTAACTTAATATTTAAAGATTATAATTGTTGATTGAAACGATTGAAAAAAATGCCTAATATGGCGAAAAAAGAAGTTCTTATAATTTATTTTTTCAGCCTACTCAACTGTAAAAAGTACTTAAAACATTGCGCATTTTCCTAAAATTAATATTAGCAATGTCCACTAATATGAATAAATTTAGTTTTCCTATTTTTCTATAGAAACTTACGGTGGGTTTATACAACATAATCGTAATCATAATCACACAATTTTAGTCACAATCATAACAGTTAAAACCATTATTTTAGATACGACGGTTTATACATCGCAGTCGTAATCATAAGCATAATTTAATAACCTTGAAGTTCGTAAATTTTAACTTTTTTGATTGTGATTACGACAAAAATCGATTAGGGGGCATTATTTTTTTTTTTTCATTTTTATGTTTAATAATTATGATAATTTTCGTGTTTAAAAAACCTGAGTAATAAAATTTAAACAAAAATACACTTTAAAATGATTATGAAATAGAAAAATAAGAAAATTAGGATAAGGATACTTTATTAGCTGTATTTACATTCCAAGTTATGCGACTATGTTGTATAAACGCATATTAAAATTGTGATTGTGACTGTGCTTATGATTAGACAAAAATTATGATTATGATTACCACTATGTTGTAGCCCATTAAAATTATTACTGTGAATTTATAAACAATTCGAATGTGGGTATGGTAGGAAGTGGCAACATTGCATTCTCTCCGAGATTCTCTCTATGCACGGTAAACGAATTTCCGGAGGGTGAACAGTGGCACTCAAAAGTTTTTCAAAATTTTCCGGAAAATGTCAAGAAAAACATAAAATTTTCAACATTTTTTTTTTCGCAAAAAAAACTTCATAGGCGTGTTTCTGGGGTTGAACTATACTACCAGTTAAAATATTTGCACTCATTTCTGGGACACCCTGTATATATAGGGGTGAGCCACTTTTGAGACGACCCGGTATATTAAAAAATATTGTTTCATAATGTAATATCATTTTAAAATTCTTGTATGTTATTTTAGATTCTGAAGATAATTTTAGAATAAACCGGAATATATTTTTAATAAAAACATTATTAATTATTAACAAGGTTATAATTATGATTTTGTTACAAAAACCTTTATATAAATGATTATGTAAGAGAAAAAAATCAGATTTTACATTTTACTAAAATATTATCTAAATAAGCGCCTTTCTACACCAACGCCACTGACTCCCAATGGGTAAATTGAGAGTTGTCTACCGGTCGAAAGTCGTTTCAAGACTTAAATGGATTATTTAAGTCAAATTTCTTGCAAATTTGGCACTGGCGAACCATATTCTATAGTTGTTGAACAGAAAAAGTCAATAAAATAAACACTTAAGGACTACAAGCTGAGAAAATTCGTTAATACAATCGGGGAGATAGCGGCAACAAAGCTTTACCGCACACGTGCGACACGTACTACAAGGTAATAAATGAATGAACAGGCGACCTCGCCTCTAATCGGTGTTGCCATATTGTAAAGAACTTATCCTTTTCAAATAGTGTCCGACTTATAATTTAGTAG